CATGCACAGGCGCCCGGCGTGAGTTTAAGCCACCGGGTCCGGGACTTGAACTGCGGTCACCTACATAGGAGCCCAGTGATGTAGCCACTACACCAACTGCTGGCCCCTGTACTGTGTTTTCTTTGTCCTGCGAGAGCGAGAAAGAGCGTGCGCACATGAGCGAGCCCTGGAAGGGGCGAGAGGGGTCCCTGACGGGGTGTCACCCCTCTGCCGTCCCCGCACCAGCCTCCCAGTTAGCCGGACCAAGGCTGCTGAGGTTCGGCCAGGAGCGGAACCATGCCCTCGGGACTCGTGGGTGTGCCTTCCGGCTCCGCTGCTGGGGCAGGGCGCCTTGTCCTTCCAGGGCTCCTGGGGGGACGAAGGCCACGAGGGAAGCCTACGGTCTGTAGCTGGGCCGTGAGCTTCCCTCCTGCTTGTGGTCTGTCTACACTGCCCGGGGCCGTCCATGCCGCGGGGGTCTGACTCAGAGGGCCACGGGTGTCTCCGGAGTGCTCTCCCCGGCTCAGCGGGGGCAGTTCCCCTCCTGGCTCTGAGGGCCGTGCTGCTCAGACGGCGTGATCGGTCGTGCTTGTTCGCAGCCTCTGTCTGCCCGGTGGCCGGGTGACGGCCCTTAGCAGGTTGAGCCATAAGCTCCAGACCCGGGCTGGTCCTAGGGTTGCCGTCACGGCCGCTGCCAGCACGGGCCAGCCCCGATGTTAAAGGCAATTCCGGGCTCAGCCATGCGCAGACAGGCTGGCCCGGGGTTACCCAGCCAGGGCAGGTGGGGCGGGGTGGCCGGTGCCGGCTCCCCTCTGAGCCCACTGCTTGGGGACCTCAGGCATGGTCAGACCCCGCGAGGGGGCCTCAGGCTCGTTGGTTGGTGTGGACGAGGCCCGTTTGCTCACGGTGAGCAAGACAGCAACAAAACGGCCCAGCCCCAGAGCCCAGCTTGAGGCGGGGTTCTGTCACCCACTCCCTGCTCAGGGAAGACCCGGCCGGCGGGAGGAGTTGCGAGAACGAGGGCTCCACACGCGTCCACTCAGCCCCTCTGCGGGGAGCCCCTTCCCAGCCGCTGGGTGCTGGGTGTGCTTGCTCCCCAGGGCTTGGGGGTGGGAGGGAGCCAGTGTCCCGCCCCGGGGTCCACCCTCATCAGGGCTGGTTAATCCCGGACAGCACCAGCCAGACCTCAGACCCAGGCCCGGCAGCTCCCCGAAACCTGTGCGGGTCAAGGGAGGCAGAGGTGCAGGCATCAGGCGGAGTCTCAGATGCCTGCCACGTGTCGGCACGGGAACTCGCCCTCCGGTCCCCAGTCGCCTCTGTCCGGAGCCCAGGTGGCTAAGGGAGGTCCCGCCCGCTGAGCCGCGGTGATGAACAGCAGGGCCTCGGCATGTTAATCAGGACCAGGTCTTCGCGTGGGCCCAGACCAGGGCCACGTCTGAGCAGAGGCCGCAGGACTCCCCGAGGCTGCAGGGGCCGTAAGCGACCCCGGAGGGTGGGGCTGTACTGCAGGGCCAGGATGGCCGCGGGAGGCTTTTACACCCTCGGGGCAGCTGGGACGCTCCGGACAGCTCCATGCCCAGCTGGGAGATACGCGAGGAACACACACCGTCGGACCAAGGCCAGAACTGCACAGCCCGACCTGCCCAGAGCTGCCCCCACGGGCCACGGCGTGTGGACTCAGGCCTCGCGCTCACTGAGATGCCAGACACGGGCGTGCAGGGCGAC